CTAACTCGTGAGCAAGCAAGCAAGCAAGCAAGAGTCTCTGTAGACTGTAGCAGGACAGTGCGCACGCGCAGGCGGGGGGAGGGGCGCAGCTATGTGCTCTATCTTGGCTGTGTGGAAGAAGAGAGAGACTCAGGCGTAGCGCTACTGCGCAGTGGGTGGGGCGGGAGCGCGGTTCCCTGTCCCTGTCCCCAAACGCCCGGCAAGCAAACCAGCAAGCAAGCAAGAGAGGGAGAGAGAGAGAGAGAGAGACAGACTGGATTTTGCCTTCCTCGTTGCACTTACAGGCAGAATTGACATCTTCCTGCATGTCTTTCGAGAGAGTGGTACGATTGTAAGGTTTTTCATTATCGTAGATTTTGGGGCTTTAGCCTTCGACAATCCACACTCGTTACTCACTCCACTTGACCCGATAAAACATGGTGCCCGGGTGCTTCGACCAGCCCCTATGCGAGTTCACATTTTCATGTCAGCAGAAACCTGTAACACTGTAGAACTCATTGGTGAAATTGCTTGGTCAGATCTGCCACTGAGCATTTGTTGCTGCCGATCTTGAGTCTTGTCCAGTCTTGTGGATCCTTGCCTGCTTTGTGCGCGCTGCCAGTGGCGATAACTCCGAAAAGGACGCGTCTTGTGGAGTGGTGGTTTGTGACCGGAGCCTTATGCCCCAGAGAAAGATCGAGAAGAAGCAGAGAAACAGCGCCCCGCAGTGGTTTTGAAGGACTACCGGTGGCTGCTGCCATGCTGCGGGGGTCCGCACAGATTGGGCGCTGGACCTTCGGTGGCTCGGTGTCCGTACTGGTCTTGCCGACTGTATGTGGGCAGGGATTCGTCTCTGCGAGGGCATTGCGAACCTGAGCAACTTGCCCCAAACTTCTTGGTGAACTTAGGAAAACGCTGCACTTCAATCGGCACCTGAAGGCGCAAGCGTCTTTGGGAGTTTGCGCCATCCAAAGAGAGGCTGACGCCCGGCACATCCCAGCACGAGGGCCGCTGATGCATGGATTCCGGGAAAAGGGGAAATCGGACCACACGTGCTTTCCTACAGTGCTACAGGATGCATGTACTTTGTTGGCCACACCCCTCTTCTCGTGGTTTCCTTCGCATAGCCTGTGGAGTCCAGCTCGGAGACATTGCAGCCAGTGCTCACAGCTGCTCTTGGGATTCATGTCGTGGCTGATCTGGGAGCACCGCAGGCATCCATGCCCGATGTCTTTAGCCGCCTCACAGAATGTGCGGAGGAGGCAGCCGCTGCGGCGGCAAAGATTCCTGAAACACCATATTTTGACATCAACGGTTGGGATTGAGGCTTGAGGACATTTATCACAGCCTTCCCGGATTGCCTCAGGAACCTCGCCCCTTTCTCAGCTGTGTTAGAGTTGTTAACTAGCCTACGAGTTATTGAGCTTCTATGAAGAGATTGAAGAGTTGATTTGAAGACCTATCCTTCGGCTGCAACTACTCGGCCTAGGAGAAGGCAAAACAAGAGCAAGGAGCCGGATCGTCGAAAAAGGCCATGTTGCATGTGCTATCGCTGTGCGGAGCTCGTCCAGGCTGTTAGTTCTCGTGGTTTGGTTGCAACCAGGCGAAGAAAAAGAGGTCTAAGCGAAAGAAGAAGGCAGCCCGCATGGAGAGAGAGGCACGCTGGGTCTTAGAGCCATGGTGCATGCTTCGTTTCCGACGAACTGACAAGACGGCAATACTTCAGCTGTCTGGCAAGGGTTGTGGAAGTAGTGGGTCTGGGTGACTTGCTCCAGAAGCCATAGAGTCGAAGACGAAGGTGTTGCCTGTGCTGCCCGCAGACAATCCACGCATGCCCGCGGCGTCTTCGAGCATTGGCTCGGGCTGCAGGCAGAGACCGCGGATGCGACGAAGCCGGAGAAGACCAAGGAGGAATTGGAGGAGCTCAGCCCGAAGTTGCACGACCCAGGTTGATGCCAGCAGAGCCCTGTATGTGATCGTGAAAGTCTCCAGCATACGCATTGTTGCATCATGTCTGGCATTTCACTGTGATATGCTAGCGCTCTGAACTGGTTTTGTGTTACAGGAGATTGAGGCTGCTGCAAAGGCTGCTTGCCCCAGATTCAGTCGACCGGGGTTCTGCATCGGTGTTTAGCATGGCCTAGTATGGAGAATCTCTAGAGTTCTACAGTAGCGACTGTCTATAGTATCTATCTATCCGTCCATCCATCCATCCATCCATCCATCCATCCATCCATCCATCCATCCATCCATCCATCCATCCATCCATCCATCCATCCATCCATCCATCCATCATCCATCCCTGTAAATTTGGGTATCTGTTCATATCTTATAGTCCCTAGCTTGACAAGTCACCCAAGTCTCTCGTCAGTGGCCAAAGACTGCGACATTGGTGGGGCATGTGTTCTGTGCAAGCCACACGACAAACTTCTTCGTGGCTTGGTCAGTTAAGCGAAGGTTGATTGTTGACTGGAATAGGGGCTGGCAGGGGTTGAACTTGTTGCTTGCATTTTTGAGCACCACTTGTTCAGACCGATTCTACAGGATTCAGGATTTGGCAGACCTTTCGAAGCTGGACAGGATATGTTATGAACCGTGAAGTCCGCAACGGTCCAACACCATGGGAATCAGGCGTCAGCTGCATCCCCGGCGGTGGAAGCTCATTCGGGGATCAGCCGTTTGATTGCAAGAGGAGCAGTGTCGGGGACGTCAGGCTTCAGGGTGCAACAGCTTAGTGGTTTGTGGCGAACCGAGCGAGCGCGAATGGACAAGTGCTGCACAGTTCAAACTTCGATACGAGGACACTTTTGCAACTTGGAGCTGGATCTTCAACTTCTTAGGAAAGCGGACTCTCTTCAATGCCCCACTCTTCACACCTGTTCCGCAGCCTGCTTTGCAGGTATCGAGACCCGAGAGTTCACCTTGTCTTGGGAGGAGAAGGACATGTTTTTTGAGGCTCGAGGGCATGTGCCCGCTTGAGCCGTAGCGCTTACTGGTTGGAGATCAATGTGTAACAATGACTTCGCACCCTATGCGGCCCATTGGATCACAGGGGGTACCCTGAAAATTATCATTCGTGACCGTTCCAGCCTTTGCCAGTCAAAGACCCTCAGTCCAGACCCTCTGCAGCCCTTCGCGCTGGAATGTTGCCTTAGCAGCGGTTTACTCATTGGTCTCAGAAGTTCGCAAGCTTTCCGAGACGATAGATAAGCTTGTATGCTTCGCCTTCAACGGAAGCACCCCTGCCATCAAGGCCTCCCCACACATGAGCTTGCAGAACGAATTCCTTAGGTCCGTGTAAGCACGAAATATGTAACATTTCCAGCTGCGACAAATCCCTTCTGTGGTGTCTTCCACTGTAGGAATGAAGCGCTATGAAAGCGATTGCAGACCGAACAGTGGGGGTTCTGTGAGAGGTCGTGGACCGCAAGATGAAAGCTCTGATGTCCGAGATGCTACGATGCACTTCATGGGTGAACACTACAGAATGTTTTGTTGATGACCAGCAGTCACAGGAAGATTCCTTTACGAGAGGTCAATTTGCTTGTATCTCTGTACTTTTGCGCATCTTGAAGGTTTTTTAGACTGTTGAGGAAGCAAGGTACGATCAACAACGCCACCAAGATTCAGGATGTGTAGAAGAACTAGCCAAAAAGCACTGTAGTTCCAGCGTTCCTGTTGCATGGAGCTCGCGAGGAGAATCGACTCGGGGCTGCGTCCGTTCATCTGCCAACCAGATCCCGACTGCCCCGAGCAAAGAATCCCTTTACCCGTGTATGAAGTGGAGATCCTATATACCTATACCTAAAGATTAAAGTTACCCGTGTAAGACTTTGAAACCCCATGCCTAAAGATTAAAGGAAATTAAGGATGTATAAGCCCGAGCGGCGGCTGAAGTTCGCCATCTCGGATCCCAGGCTCGGGTGGTCGGACCCCTCGGAGCTGGAGGGGGCCGTGCCGTTCTTCGATCCGGACACCGGCTCTGGCTTTAGCGCAGTTGCCCGGGGCCCTGAGCTGCCGCGATTGGATGACGAAGAGTGTTGAAGGGCAGGCAAGGTCTTTGGGCCCCCAGTGGTGTCCGAGCTACGTCCGTTCGGGGACCGTGGCGGGACCCTTCATACGAAAGGGGGGTCCCAGGATCCTAGGACCTAGGACGAAGCTCTGAGGGCCGAAGGGCCACTCCGCTGCAGCGGTGCAGACGTCTCCTGCCAGGACCCCCATGTTGTCGACAGCACGGGCACGCGTGTTGAGGGTCCGATGATGATCTTTGCTGTGCCTTGGCTGTAGTCACTGTAGTCATGGATGTTGTAAGATGGTGGAGGTAGGGGCCCATGATGGCCGCACGAAAGCTTAACCTACTGAGCTTTGGACCTCACGCAAGAGCCGTGCATGCGAAGTTCCTCATTCCATGCAAATGTACTTGTGGCCCGAATCCTGCCCAAACCCTTTCGTCAGAGGGCCTGCGCGGGCAAATTCAACTCCTCATCGGACTGTGGTTCCGGGCTCCAGGCCTGTTCCTGATGTTGTGATGTGAAATGAGCTCTTATCCTCTGAAGCAAAGTACCGATTATATCGCGCACTTCCACTGCAATGACGCTCTGTCGCGGAACGACTTGTTTCAGGAGCCCGAGGAGGTCCCTGTTGAATTGTTCGTCCGGTTGTAGGGTACGGGTGGTGTCGATTCCGTGTTCAGAACGTCTATTGAGAGACTACACCAACAGCAGGTATTTCAGCCGGTTGAAAGGTTTCGTGGACAAGTGACAAGTGTGTTCTGAGATGGAAGTGCGAAACGCTGGGAAATTGCTTCTGTGGCTTTTGCAGGAAAGCCCGCAAAACAGGCGCCAAGGCATCCTGAATTTCGCACAAAGTCGCAACCTGCTGTAACAACATGACCGTGGTTAGCAGGTTAGCCCCCTGCCAACCCCCTCTGCCGCCGCGCCCTATTGGAAGTTCAGAGATGCCGCTGCCACACCAGGGAATCTCTAGGCCACCAACTGCCTAGCCGAGGACGATCCTGCCGGCTTCCCCCTGACCTTCCGGTTCAAGCTGCCGCGGCGAAAGGTCCGCCGAACAAGAGCTGGGCATGAGCGCAGACTGTCGCATCCAAAATGGGTTTCTATGGGAGGTTGGGCGTGGTCACAGTCCTCACATGCCTTACGACGTGATATAATATACACATATTATATATGTATGTATATTTTGTATTATGTGTATGCGCGGTGAGGGGGCTACCCCTTCACCCTAGCCCTGGCGAAAGAAGGATGCAACTGAGTTCTAACCATCGCAAGTGATCTCCGGGTACATAGTTTATGTCCATGGTTTGCTACTTAATTTCTATCTATCTACCTACCTAACTATCGGCCTGTCTATCTTCGCATCTATCCACTTATCCATCTATCCTGGTATCCATCTAGCTATCTACCTACCCACATATCCGTAGGAGTCTGTGGAATGAGCACATACATAGAGACGTGAATGCATGCATGCCTGCACACATGCTGCAACGCATTACGTAGGTACTTTCAATTACGCACATGCATACATTCAGGGACATGCTCACATACCCACATACACGGGTACATATATAGACGAAACAAACATACATGCATACACGTTCACGCATGCACATGCATAGGTCTAATAATCTGCTTATAGGTTGACAGTGTACATCCACCTATACATGCATCTGTGTGTATATATATATATGTAGATATATATATATATATATATATGTATATATATATATATATATATATTTGCACATGCACATGCATATGCATATGCGGTTTCGTGGGGCTTCTTCAGGAGCCGCTGCATCCAGATCCTTCCGCATTCCTAGCACTTCTGAAGTGCAGGACAAGATTCTGGAAATCAAACTCGGCTTGAAGAGTTCGGACAAACTCTGGAAAATCAAAATCGCTGGAGTATCCGGAGGCGGCTGCGACGGAATCCCCTGGTGATGACAAGGAAGCAGAGCCTGCTCTGGAGGGAAAGGAGGACACCGGATCTTCGATGACAAGAGAAAACTCTGCCTCCAGCTTTTCTGGACAAGCTGCAGCGGGCCAACCGTCATAGTCTGCCGTTTGCTTCAAACAGGATGTCGGACACTATGTACTGCGGAGGGCGTTAATTCAGGGCTCTCATTTTGCTGCCGCACATTCATGGGGAGACCTTCTGTTTTTCCATAAACCCTAACTGTCAAAGTCAGTGCAGCCAGCAGAAACCTGCTTTCCGGATCCTAGTGAGACGGAAACGGGTATCATGTACCCCTGCAATGCGAGCTATTCCTTTCTAGGGCTGGTAGGATCTCCTAGCCTGCTTTGCACCCGCCTTTTTTGCATGGGATCACAGGAGGAGGCGGAGGCGGAGGCCCACGATGCAGAGGAAGATGCCGAGGAGGAGCAGGAGCCCGATCAGGCAGGCGATCGATCTTGTAGTGTTTCATGCAGCCTTCAGCGTCTGCGTACTGCCGAAAGTTTGCGACACTTCAACTGCACGAGATGCCTCGATTCCCGCATCTAGCGAAGCAGCACTTCAGAGCTCAGCTCTTTTCACACTCACATGGAATTTTCCTTTGGTTTGCACATGATGCCTGCTGAGCCCCAGTTCAGAATTCAGCCAGCGTGAGTGAAATCACAGAGAGATCTTGCCAACTAGGCAGCGCCGCTAGGTCACGAAATTCAGTGTAATTAAACCAGTGGAGATAGTCACGTGTTGAAACAGCGATCTCAACGCAGCTTGGCTGTGTGAACTGTTGAGTGCTTTGGGTGTTGCTGTGTTCTCATGTTGTTTGATCTTGGTTTACAGGGTCGCTTGCCTGTAGTTGGCATTGTACTGCTCTGCCTCCATGAGCAGATGACTTCATTGGGGTTTGGGTGGTTTATTTGTATGAGGCCCCGTGACAGTAAGAAAACTGCCTGCCTTGTTTGAGCGTGCAGGTCGAAACCCCGAACTTTACTTGGAGTTTCCCCCAGCTGATCGGAGGCCACTGCTGAAGTTGTTGAGGTGCCAAAGCGTGCCCCGGAGGTCGCGGCTTTAGAGGGCTTTGGAGACGTAACAATGTGGTATGCAAAAGGAAAGTATAGTCTAGCGGAGTATACCGTAGTCTTGTACAGTTGTGCATAGCCGAGTCTAGTCGAGTAAGTCTAGTACAATATTGTCCAGTATAGCCCATGACTGTCTAGCATAATATGGTATGGTGTAGGATGGTATCGTCGTGTAGAGTACATATAGTTTAGGATAGTAGTCAATATAGCATAGCCGCAGCCATTTAAATTAAGTTTAATGTGGGGTGATATGCTACAGGACAATACACTCTAGCACAGTAGAGTCTAGCACAACATCTATCAGATGGATGCTGATTCGCTGCATCCACCAGGACTTTCAATTAAGCTTGAAGGAGTGTATATGTATGTCATACATACACTTTACATGTGTAGATGCATACACACATTTTTATAACTATTAGTAATTAGTCCACGTGTGCCTGTGCATGCATTACTTTTGTTGGTGTCTGCCCACTTGCTGAGCGGATTCACAAAACGGAACCTGCCCCAATCCCTCGGATGCCCACAAAACTGTGAGCACAAATCAGAAGTACTCAAAGGTGCAATGCCGTTTTGACAGAAACGCTAGCCATAACTTCGTCAATAAGCTCGCAGCAACCGGGCCGCATGGACCAGCAAGTACTGTCAGCTTTTTCAGGCATTCGTTCATTCATTCATTCACTCATTCATACGTACGTGATGCGTGCGTGGCATGCGGACTTCGTCGGATTATGCCGCCTCTTTCGGAATCGAACTAGGTGGTCTTACCTGCATGGCTGCTACATGCATACCGGCTATGTGTGCTGGGCAGATCCATGGAGCCCCGAAGCCAAAAATACATAGATATGTACATGCCTGCGCGCATGCATAGGCCTGCCTCTTCTGGTGCCTGCCTATTTTCGACCTGCTCACGTACAACCAGAAATTTACTCTCCTAGGGCTTCGCTTCGATCCCCACATCCGGCAAGGATCAAAATCCCAACGATCCCAATCAATACGCCGGGTGGACCAAATGCTGTCCTGGAGTTGACTGTCTGTCAAGCAAGACGTAAATGCTCGAAGGCAGTCTTTCACGCTGATTACGATCGCCTTGTGCAGCACTCGCACTTATGGCCATGGCACTTGTAGCAAAACAACAAAACGTTGCTGAAACCGGGGGCAGCATTAATGTGCTTTCCATATCCTTACTTGGAGTCACAACTGGTGCTGCCCTTGGTGAGGACTGCTTACAGGAGCTGTTGAATCAACCAGGCCTGACAGTCGCCGCTTGCCGCAGTTCAGGTAACCCTTTTCGCAACCCTTATAGCACCAGGTAGTGTTGAAAAATCGGTGATAAGAAGAAAGCCGAGCACTGTCTCGCACGATCGTGGCGCTTTTCTGTGTGCAGTGCTGGCAGTCATGAAGCTTACTCGTCTTTGGCTGCTTATTCATCATCGCTATCATGAGGCAGTTAGTCTTCTACTATGCCATGATATGTCATTCGCCTGAGTTGTTGCACTCGAGAGCTTGAGCTTGCGTAACGTAATTGCATGAGAAAGCCGCTTGTTGCGAGAATCGCCAGAATTAGCCCGAGCAGCCCGATGCAGCCACAGGTGTTTACGCATCCTCGTCCAAATTCAGTGCAGCTTCACGAGTGCTTTGGCGCCACGGGCAAGGCTTGCTGGAAGCGCTGCAAGGCTGGGCACAACACCTGAGACAGGTGAAGTTCTCAGGAAATTCAGAACCTCACGCAATACGATGCCCACTACAACTGTTTCTTAAAGCCTTAAAGTGTCCAGAAGTTGCAAGCTTGGTCTATATGGGTCCCTGGGTCTCGTCTCGAAGGTGCCCGGAGACTATGCTGAGTTCGAATTCTCGACTGTGTCTTGGGATGCCATTGGAGGCCTTGACTTTCTAAGGAGGGTTGACATAAAAACACAAGTGCGACCTCGCTGAAATTTTGTGTTACTATGCTGCCGCCATTGACATGTTCGCCAGCTGCGGCACATCCATAGCATGATTGCGGACTCTTTGCACAAACCCTTGCCTGAGGATGGAGATGGGGGCGACAAGCCGGACAAGCGATGGGGTGTCTTGGCCGCTGGGCTGCACAACGTGGCACAGAGGTCGTGTTCTGGTGTCCCGAAGTGCCTTGAATTGTCTCCCGTGAAATTCTTTGGAGGCTTTGGTGCTTCCCGCCGCATCGAGTGATGACATGGGCTTGCAGGAAAAGGCCTTCCGACGCACTGCCTGCCAACATTTGAGTCGTCGAGTGGAGTGGGATGCCTCATGACATTTTTCCGAGAGCTTGCAGGCAGGATCTGCTGTGGTCAGGGGCCTCCCAACCAACATCCAGTCCGAGGGAGCTTCCATCCCCAAGAGTTCCAGAAGCAAAGTCGCAGGTGGATGAGTTCCTGGGTCGCTGGGTGGAGGAGTGTGATCTTGGAAAGTTGAGCTGTTGCAGTAGGGATTGAAAACGACTGATTCGACATGATTCTTCAGCATCTCTTGTCTCCGTAAATTCTTGGCATGTTTCGACCCATGGCTGTTCTTACAGAATGTCATAGCACATACTGCAAGAAGAGCTGATCGCAGGAAGATGCTCATTTTTTGTGGAGCGCAGATGCCTTGCTGACACTAGGTTGTTCGACAAATAGATTCAAAGTGTGTACGTATGAGTGAAATCTCCATACAAAGAGCCGAGCCGGAACCTGGGTCAGATTTTACAGAGATGCTGTGTTCAACATAAACTAAGCACTTGTTCAGGGTCAGCAAAGTTTCTTTAGCACATGCCAGAACCAAGTATTAATGAACAATCTTGTTCAGCTGGGTTTGAACTTTTCCATGTAATGAAGCTGGGTCTTGGGATTTGCTTTGTTGTTCGTACCGGGTTCGGGTCGCTTGCGACTGGGTTTTCGGATGGGCTGAGTATTGCTGTGTTATCGGGCACTAGGTTCTATTTGGCTGCTTCTGGCCAGCGAGCTTGGGCTTGCAGCGCATAAGAAAATCTCGGACAGAGAAATCGAGCAAGAGATGCCGACAGTGTCGGTCAGAGAAAAGATTCCTGAAAGCCACCCTTCTGCACCTGGAGGAGCTACAAAGGGCTGCTGGGAGCATGGAGTCGCCCACGGCCGGCTGTCCTGTTTCTTTAGGCTTTCGGCCCCTTTTTTAGGGTCCCTAAGCTCGGCCCGCAACCCTGAACTCACTGCTATTGTTGCGGGAGTCGTCGAGTCTTGATTCAGGGTGTCAAGCCCGCCATAAAGCCCCAAGTGGACGGAGCGTCGGTTTCGGAAATGGTGTGTGGCCCATTTATACGATGGATACTTCGTTGAGGACCGGAGCAATCAGAGAGCTAGGGCTAGCACGGCTGGTATCCTCTTGCAACCCGACCAGATACGTCCTTACCACTCCAACTTCTTAGACGACAAAGCAGGATCCTTGAGATTCACCATCCGGGACACAGTGATCAGTGGATTTTTCAAAATCGTTTTGGCATTAAAGGCCGAAGTTGAGGCCACGTAGGTTCACCATGCGTCGAACAGGTGGAGAGGGATGCCTGGGATGAAGTGCGTCTCCGAGCCCTTTGTGCTCGACACGGCTGGGAGTTCGAATGGATGACAGTCTTTTGGCGAACTTGGACTCCTACATGCGTGGTGGGAAGTTTCTCTGGGTCATGTCAACCTGTTCAGCCGGAAGCTTCGTTTCCTATTCCTCTGTTCGAAATGTTTCGAGCAAACGAGATTCTTGAAGCCTTGTTTGTCCCGACTTCTACCAGCTGAGACAATGTGCATTTGTAACCGGCTCCGGGCTGGACGATAGGTTGTACCTTCGAGTGGGTTGCCATGCAAGTCGCACATCGAAGGAAGATGGAGAGCGTCGCAGAAGAGCCCACGAGCACCAGAGCAAGCGTTTCAGAAGTCTCAAGTCGAAAGGGGTGCGACTGGATTTCAAACCTTCGGCGACTCAGGCAGTGGGACGTCCTGAAGCTCTCCACTCCAGCAGCTCCAGCTCTGCCCGGCGACTCCGCAGAGCCGGATGGCGCATCCGGCGCTCCCTGAAGAGCCTCGCTCAGCATGTCGAGCCGAATGGCAGGCTGCAAGCTGCAGGAACTCCACATCACATCAGGAGTCATCAGGAATCTGAGTCGTCAGCTCTGCGGCGAAGCACCGCTGACGATGTGGACTTCTAGATTCTAGTTCCGAAGCCTGTCACAGCATCTCATGCATCTCATAATGATGGCATACGCATGACTCTCGTGAATCTCATCAAGGTCAAGGTTGGCTGTTCTCACCCTTGAAAAGAGTGTTCCAGTGCCGTGGAGGGCACACGAATAGGATTGCGAGCTGTGCGGTGCAAGAGCCCGCGGAACATGCTAATTGCGGCACCCGCCAAGCGGGGGCTGTGCGCAGTGGAAGCCACCGAGACAAAACCAAGAGCTAGCAGACATCTTCAGAGTCTCTGTTCAGTGTTGAAGCAGGAGACTTGATGGCCAAAACATAGGCCGGCTAGTCATCCTTGAGTCGAAATGCTGTGCCGTGCTTGCAGTATCTTGCAGTGTTCGCCCGGCCACTGCAAACTTCGAGGCCGAAGCTCGGGAGTCTTGCGCTCGAGATCTGGCCGTCCTCAAGGACCTCGGGGTAATTCTCGAGGGGGCCTCGGGGCTGTAGCGACTGTAGTGGCATCAGTACGGTCCGGAGGCCGGGAGCTTCCGGATGCTTGCGGCTTGCAGAAGAACAGATAAACGTCTGCTGGAGGACGAGGAGCAGCGAGTGGCAGAGGCCGCGCTCTGGAAAATGAAGCATTGATGCTGGAAGAGCTGTCATAGCTGCATGTAGCGATGCCATCATTTCGATGTCTTGGAGCCTTCGCTCCTCAGGCTTTTGCCGACATCCCAAGCTTTCTCAAAATTCAGGTGTTGCACTTTGTGCAGGGGGGTTTAGCAAGGCACTATCAATTCCGTG